CTATGTTGATTCGAACACACACAGTCCCAGGAAGAGGAATTTCCCACTGAGAAAACAATGTCCAGTACTTCAGAATTTAATCATCTCAATTCTCTCTTACAAGTGTAAATTAAGTTCACAACTCCCTTGTAAGAACTGGTCTCACAGCAGACAGACCAGCATCAATTGGCATGACAGATAAGAAAGAGAAATACGTGACCTCATGATTATAAAAGATGGGCCCAGCACACACTCACTTTGAGTGTCATTCTACCCTCTACCTGCTGGTCGGGTTAGGTGTTTGACCTCCCGAGGTTCTATGGGGACGCCCACCTCGTATTTTCGTCTTTCCTAGGAATTGAGGGACCGGCTCTGGCCTGACACGCTGGAGTCGAGAGGCACAGAAGGGGGTAAAAATTGTACCTGGATGTGGTCCTCTGTCTTAAGTGTACACATAGAAAGAGTAAGCTGTTACTTGGTACCATTATTTCTATTTTTCTATCTTTATCTTCTTTGTAACCGTTTTAAGATCTATATTTTGCTAGTAGTTAAGAAATAGAACAATAGCCATTGCAACCATATGATTTATAAGCTTCCTCCATAAACCTGTAACTGTTTAAGTTTTAACCTGACTCCTTCAGTTGCTGTAACAGAACCAAGCACAATTTAAAAGAACTTCAGCCGGTCATAAAGGGACAGACATAGGGAGAGCTTGGGCGTTTGGATCTGTGTCACTCCCAGGTGACAAGATCCGTTGGGGCACCTTTTCAGCCTTTCCTAGGCTGCCCTCTGCGAAGGAACCCTTGTGTTCTAGCAGCTAAAATCTAAGGTGTAATAAGCTCTTCCTATATAACGGGGCGACTGTTGGCCTGCTGGCCACCCTCTGTGATGGGACCCCGGTCCTAGCAGTAAAGACACGGACGTTAAACCTTTTCTCGGAAACATACACACACACACACTGCCCTGACCGTCGGCTGACAATGGCTTTAGATTGTTTTCCTGCAATTCAACCCATTGAGCCAAGTAGACTCTTTGTTTAACTCCATGGCTAGCATCTCGTTTTATTAAGAAACAATTCACTCAGTATTTTGGGTGCCTTGGGATATATTCCTGATTGCGATAAAAAAGAGCTCTTTCTTAGATGCCTTTAAATAATTTTTAAAAAATTGTTACTGATGATCATGACCATCATAAAAAGCTTGGTGTCAGAAGCTAAAACGTATGCTTTAGTGAGAAACAATTTCAATAGCCCTTCCCAATCATTTCATAAACTACCATAAGTTTGCTTGAAAATTAGAGCTGAAAGTAAACTGTTCATGGAATATATGTTATATAGCCCACTAATTAGGAGAGATAAATTAATTCAAAGTGAGACCTTTATGCACTCAGCAGTTCTGTATGTATGTCAGTGTACGTATGTCAGTGATGTCATAATATGAGTGCATGATATGAGTCATAATAGGAGTGCAGTGTGTACTGGCCAGCAAATAGAAACAGTGTGAATAGTCTGCTTTGGACAAGGATATAAGCATGGCTGTTCACACCATTATTTTTCTGCTCTTCTCTTTTTTAACATGTGGCTGCTCCACAACTAACAAAAGGGAAACATTAACTTCTTCTGAAGGTACGGTGCTCAGCGTGACACCCTGTAATCTAAAGCTGTTTCCGGAAAGGACCCTAAGAATATAGGATTGATCACAAATGATATTGACATGTCCCATATGAAACACAATTGTTTTGCTTTATTTCAGCTCTGGTAATGCTCTAACCCAGTGGTTTTCAAACTACGGGTTGCAACCGCGGCTCTAAAATACCGAGGAGAGCTCCTCAGGAGAGTTGCTAATATTTCAAAGTGGCCTATCCTTTCACTGAATCCAGGGAGGGAGCTGCCAAGTTTTGTGCAGCCCCAGATGTGACTTTTCTCCCTATTGAGAACAAGTCACTAGTACCCCTTCCAGGCTTGTTCTGCCACAACCCTGGCAGTGGGGTGGGAAGGCAGCAGAGAAACTCCTGCACTAAGAGTTGTAAATAGGAATGCTCAGGCAATAGTCTATTGCAGTGGTCCCCAACCTTTTGGGACTGCTGGGTGCCTGGGGCCTGGGGCGCAAGAATGGCTCGGGCCGGCCCTGATCACTAGGTGGGCGCACATAAATGCCCCGGCAGGCACCATGGCACCCGCGGGCACCACGTTGTGAACCACTGGTCTATTGGGCATGCCTGTCTCTCCAGGCTGTGCTTGGCTGCTGGCTTCTCTAGCTGTGCACGTTTGAAGGTTTCTCAAGGTCCAGCATGTCCCAGAATGACTTAATCACCCTTCCACCACTCAGATCTCAGAGAAGCTTCAGAACCAATTAGAAACTGAGTCAACTCAGCAGATATTCCTTGGCCTGCTGAGACCTGGAGGTGGATTCCTACAAAGGTAGAAGGTCATGTGGATGCCACTTACCATGATTAGCATCCAGAGGAGGGCATGGAAGCACAGGCTACCTAGTACGCAGTTCTGCTCACACCAACTCACACCTCTTTGGGTGGTTAACTTAAAGGGCATGTTAAACGGTCTGAGTGTGTCATCAGGCTGGTCTTGGGAGAAGCGAGAATGGCTAAGGAATTGGGTCATTATCTGAGTCCAGGAGCACTCCCAGTGACCTGCCATTGCAGCATTGAACGGCTGCATAACTGGGGATTGCTGTGTTACCCCTGAGAAATGGCCCGTTCCCTCTCTCCCTCCCAGCTCTTACTTTGGGGATGGAGGAGGGTTCCCTTCTCAGGGCTGGAATGGAATGGGTGGATAGTCCTACTCTAGGAAGATTTTGATTCTGCAGGTTCTATACCTGTAGGACAGTGGTTGTCAAATTGTGGTCCGTGGACCACTTGTGGTCTGCAATTATCTTGCAGGTGAGCCACAGGCTCAGGGCTCGCAGCAGGGGAGGAGGGGCAAGGAGCTTGCGCTGGCGTTCCAGCCCTGCACCTGCCCATGAGGATGGAGTGTAGGCGCCGGCTCTCACACCAGGGCGAGCAGGGGGTGAGTCTCACCGGCCAGGTCCGGCTTGCGGGGGAGGAAGTGGTTCCGTGTGCTGCCCCTTCCCCTCCCCTAGGAAACTGCTCTATTGGCCTGTTTCCCTGCTGCTCCCATTGGTTGGAATCATGGCCAATGGAAGCAGCAGGGAGTAGTGCCTGGGAGCAGCGGGAGGTGCAGAGCCAGATAAGTGCCCTCCATCCCCCTCATGCCCAGACCTCATACCCGCATTCTCCCCCCACTCAGAACCTCCCTGCCACCCTCAGCCCGCTCCTGGCCCCAACCTCCCACCCAGACATTGCACCCCCATCCCCGCCTCCACCCATTTTGTCATCAAGGGTAGCTGGCTGGTAGTCTACAGAAAGGTCTGCATTGAGCAGGGTGGACCATGGGCCAAAATGTTTGAGATCCACTGCTGTAGGAGAAAGAGACTTTAGGAAACTCATTCCAATATTTTCCATATCCCTGAGTCAGTTTGCCCAGCAAGCTCCCTTTATTCTACATGAGGGGGGCTGGAGTTCTCTTTTCACAGCTCAGGATTCCGAATAGTGTCTAAGGTGGCCACTAGCCACTCTAAAGTCCTGAATGGCTTTCTGCACCTAACGATCAATGAGTTCAGGGGCAGCTATTAGGGTGCATTGTGCTTTGGCCTTCATCCCAGTTCAGCAAGAGGGCCGCTTACTAGGGTACCAAAAAAGGGGATTCTACTATACATTTTTTTTGTGTTCTCATAATCCATCCCTGCCTCCAGTGTTCTCTGTAAGCCAAGCACTTGGATGGCCTCCCAGGAGAGATTCATATGCTGCCCAGCTGATTAGTAGAGTGAAACAGTTGGCAACACACGTTTCTACTGGTAGTGCACATCCACATGTCTCAGTGCACAGAATAAAATTTATTCCGCCCATGAGAGAAAAGACATTTAGAGGGAACACTGCCTGCCACTCCAATGATTCAACCCCATTTTTAACCTGCTACAAGATGCATTTTTAAAGAAAAACTCCAGTAGCTATTTTAACCGTTTTTTTTAGAAGGCTTCCCAGAAGACCAAGAACAGGATACTGGATTCGTAAAGCGAGACCTAATCATTGCAGCCATGAGTGCTCTGTTGGTGATCATTTCTGTTCTCCTGATATGTTTCTGTTTCCTTCAGTATAAGCTTGTGAATGAGGAAGAAAAATAAATGGCAAAATTCACTTACCTATGAGTAGCAGCTCAATCCTAAAAAATGGGTGTTTTTTCTCCTTACGCATTCAAGGGACTGATTCAAAGCCCACAGAAACGAATGGGAAGATTTCAATTGATTTCAGTTGTCCTTTCAATCCAGTTCACAGCTATTTACATGGCTGTATGAACATACAGTTTATTAATCGGCCAACAGAATTTTGAGACATGGACCATTACAACAATATGTGGCCCTGAAGTTTAATACTTTGTGATGGGAGGGCGGAGAATGTCTGAATCTAAATTGAAGAGGCCCACATTTAGGCTATGTCTAGACTGCAGGCGGATCTTTCGAAAGAGAAATCCGCTTTTTCGAAAGAGAGCACCCAGCGAGTCTGGATGCTCTCTTTCGAAGACGGCCTCTTTACATTGAAGAACGCCTTCTTTCGAAAGAGGAACTTTCGAAAGAAGGCGTTCTTCCTCGTGAAACGAGGTTTACCGCCATCGAAAGAAAAGCCGTGTTCTTTCGAAATTATTTCGAAAGAACGCGGCTTGAGTCTGGACGCAGGGGAAGTTTTTTCGGGAAAAGGCTACTTTTCCCGAAAAAACCCCTGAGTCTGGACACGGCCTTAAGGTCTGAGCAACTTCACTGAATTAATTAATGTGTTTAAAAATAATTCTCTTGATCGGCTTTCCATCTTTTTGTTGTTGCTGTGGTATTTACATTCTGGAAGACAAGTAACAGCAGAATCCCAAACAGAGTGCTTTAAAAAATGCAGGAAGGATACCAATTAGTGCTACTTTCATGATAAATATGTACCAGAATGGAGACATTCTAAGTAGGAGAGAGATTCCACCCCTTATCTATGCAATAGAGCTGACTCAATGCTGTCCATCTAAAAATGCTGCTTTTTTCACACAGGGATTTTACTCGGTTCATCTGATTCAGAGATTAACAGGTTGTAACTTCTTATTGAAAATTCAGACCATAAATCCAGGCCATGCCTGGGCAGAGGTGCAAAGCAGAAAAAAAGGGAGTAAAGCAGGGGATCCAGAGCACTAGGAAGAATGTGATAGCCTGAGGGGTTTCTATGATGGAGAACATGTGTCCCTTGGATGAGACCACATCTGAAAAGAATGAGAGTGGGACAAAATCCAGGAAATATCTACGTTGCCATCTAGAATGTGCAGGGCAGCCAAGAGTCTGCTGGGCCCTGAGCAAGGTGAGGGTGAATGGCTCGGAGCCCCCGGAAGGGGTGGGGTCTCAGGTGGAAGAGGTGGGATTGGGGCTAGTCACCCCGGCTAGCACTTCAGCACTCCCTGGGGCTCTGGTAGGGGGTTTTAAGGGCCAGTGGCTCCATCTGCTACCACTATTGCTGTAGTGGTGATGGTGGTCAGGAGCCTCAGGTCCTTTTAAATCGCCAGGCGCATGGGTAGCTTCCCCGTTTAACCTACTCTCGTCAGCGGGCCTGAGAACCAGTGAGGACTAGCAATGTCACGGAGAATGCAGCACATGCATAAGTATGCCCCACAGTGTATCCATGCAACCTGACCTAATATGTTGCTAATAGCCTGCCCTGGCTCTGCGGCCCACCTCACTCACTGAATCTGTAAGGCATCCTACCAACCCATGCGTTGCTCTTAGTCTCTATTTGGCAGAAAATGCCAGGGACGGTCCCTCCTGATCAAGATCTCTGCCGGTCACACAGACATTCTTAAGATTTCCTTTATTTTCATGCCATTATATGATAGTGCAAGTTACCCCAGCCAACTGGAGTGCCAGATTCAGATTTATTTCTTTTCACAATAGCTACCTCTTAGGCTACATCTACACTATAACCTGAATCGATGCTCTGAGATCGATCCACCAGCAGTCGATTCAGCAGGTCTAGTGAAGACCTGCCAAATCGACTGCAGATTGCTCTCCAATCAATCCTGTTATTCTACCCCAGACAAGAAGAGTAAAGGAAATTGCTCCCGTTCACTCAAGTTTCTCCCATCGATCCCCCACAGTGTAGACCCTACAGTAACTCAGCATAAGGTCCATTAACTCCAACTATGTTATTTATGTAGCTGGGGTTGCATAGCTTAAGTTGATTTTCTGTTGTAGTGTAGATGTAACCTTACTGGGTTCCTTATAATTCCTGTTTAAATTCAACAGATTGGACTGTTTTTTACATCAATACAGTATAATTTTAGCTTTAAAAGGGCAAATAGAATGATTTGAAGAAAGAAGCTCAGGCTTTTGCCCTCCAGATTCACTCATTTTGCAATGACAGCTGTATTGTCCTGTTACTAGAATGGAAAGTTCCTTTCAGAGTATTGTCATTAGAATCTTTTATGCATGAAATATCAGCACTACAAGCTTATCGAGTGATTTGACAATACCGGCCCTCAGGGGCTCTGTCGGGTTGGGCTATAAAAACAGGTCTTGTTCTTACAACAGTGCAGATTCCACAGCCAAAATCCAAACAGTTAAGACTAGTATTTTCACTCTCTCAGGGCCAAAACCAGAGTTGCGAGGTCACAAGGCCTATTGTGTATGTTCGAGGAGTTCTTCCCCAGCCTCTGTAAGGGCAGAAGTCTGCATGTGTAAGGATGGAAAGACAAAAAGATGCACTATTTTGCCCTATTGCTATTAGGAAGGACATAACTTCTTCTAAGAGGGGTAGCCATGTAAGTCTGTATTTTCAAAAAGAATGAGTGGTCCTGTGGCACCTTAGGGTATGTCTATACTACCCTGCTAGTTCGAACTAGCGGGGGTAATGTAGTCATCCGCAGTTGCAAATGAAGCCCGGGATTTGAATTTCCTGGGCTTCATTTGCAATTGCGGATGACTACATTACCCCCACTAGTTCAAACTAGCGGGGTAGTGTAGACATACCCTTAGAGACTAAGCAATATAGAGAGAGAATCATGAGCTTTCGTGGGCAAACCCCACTTTATCAGACGTATTGGAGTGGAAATAACAGAAACCAAGATATATGTTTTTAAAAGCAGAAGAAGTATTTGCCAATTGTAGGACTAATTCTTCTACAAATTTCACTAACCAATTACAGAGAGAGTTTGAAGAACTTGGAATTTATCTTCAGATTTGATACTGTTACCCTAGTTAACTGGTTGGTGCATTACAAAGCCAATTTCTCCTGCCATTAATATCCGCATTTCCACATCAAAAGCTATGTATGGCACACATTCAGCCTACTTAATTAGCCTCATTAATATGGGCCCTACAATTGACAGATACTTCTTCTGCTGTTATACATAAATTTAGGTTTCTGTTATTTCCACTCCAATTCATCTGATGAAGTGGGTTTTGCCCACAAAAGCTCATGATTCTCTCTATATATTTTTGTTAGTCTCTAAGGGTATGTCTACACTAGCCCCCTAGTTGGATCTAGGGAGGTTAACGTAGGCATTCAAAGTTGCAAATCAAGCCCGGGATTTAAATATCCCGTGTTTGATTTGCATCTTCCCGGCGGTTTTTGAAATTTACAAGTCCAGACTAACTCCCCGTGTCTACATGTGGCAGGGACCCGGAAGTTTGAAATAAAGCTGTAGTTTGAACTACCTGTTAAACTCATTCCAGGAGAGCAATTTCATGAAGACAAAGTCATGAAAGTATTTATTTCTGCTGATGTTAGAGAAAGTCATACCACAATTGTAATATTTCCAGAGAACATATCTCCCACGCTAACCATGTCTTTCCCTTCTAAAAGGATGAAAAAGCTGAATTTGCTTCTTGTAACATTTTTAGCAGAAGTTGCCATAACTGTCCTTATTTGTAGTTGCTGAACTCAGAGCCTTAAGAAATAGCCAATATGTTTGTCCCTAGTACTGTCAGTTTTCACTGTTGTGAAAGAAATGTATAAGGAGCCAAAGGGCTCAATTTCAGCATTGTTAGGGCATGTCTTCGCTAGGAAATTATTTCAAAATAACTACATTCAAAATAATAGCTCCCGAAATAACTATTTCAAAATAAGCTTATTCCCCGAGGAGTACAGATTTCAAAATAATCAGCACCTTATTTTGAAGTAATGGGCTTGATAGTGTGGATGCTCCATTTATTATTTCAAAATAAGGGGAATTATGCAGACCAGGGCTTATTTGCCTAATTACTGACACCCGGGGAAAACTGAAGCAAAGGAGACAGTGACTGTGAACAACCCCTTAAACAACAAGACAGCCTCTCCACAGCAAACCACAAAAAATGCTGGGGGTGGTGCACGGTCCCATCTAGTGGCATTGAGGCCACGTACAGAGAGAAGTATGCATCTGCTCTACAGACTTTGCCAATAGCCAACTGGCTTTTAGTTCATGCCTACATTACACTAATGTAATCTCTTGATTCGTACATTCGTTCCTTCTGTGCCAAAGAAACAAAGAAAAATCCCGTCAAATTCCAAAGCTGTTTTAAGGCCCCTTTTGGAAAGTGTATGCACCTTGAGTCACTCTTTGCCTTTTCTTGTCCATTGGAGATGCATTTCCTTCATTCCTCACTGCAATAGTGAAATGGAAGCAGAGACGTGCAATAAACCAAGCCAAATGACCACTCTGGAGCCTAAGTGTCTAGGAAAATGGACAGGCAAAACTGGCCTAAGGCCTTGCTGGTGACCACTACATGCAGGAGATAAAGATGAATTGTAGTTGTGTCTGAAGGATGCTCCCTGGGAATATTTTTTCAAATGTCTGAGGAAGGGTAATATGGGAAACATTAAGAAGATCTGAAGACTTTTAATTTTAAGCACTGAAATTCATACTACGTAGTGCCTTAGGACTAATTGTACTTCAGTGTCGATGTGAGAATTTTCATGAGAATTTTTTTTAAAAAGGTACCTGAGTGCTTGAAGCATGGTTTGAGTAGTAGTGAAAGTGAGATTGTACATGGGCATCAGGGGACCTAGAAACTTAATCTGGCAACCTCAGCCACCAGAGCCTGGATGAGAGGGAGAGTTAAGCCTGATTCTGCAAAGCGCTTCATCACATACTTACCATTAAGCACACACACTTAAGTGCCATTGAAGTCA